AGCTGTTACTATAATAATCACTTCTATTTTTGTTTTCTGTTTTTTCCCTTGCAACAGCAGGCAGAGGATTAAATTCAGTTATCATAGAGATGGAAATCAAAATGGCAATTATCTAAATTTTTTTCTATGTCTCTTTATCTTTCCTAGAGGGTGGAATTATTTTCCTACATTGTACATGTTTCCCCCACATTCTTTTTAAAGAGTTAACATACATGTCCTTGTTCATCTTTTTCTTTGGTAGGAGGGGCAAATTCATGAAAATAAACCTATCAGTGATTCATTTTTCCTAACTGGAGGTCACACAGAGCTTCCACTGTGGCCCGTCTAAAGGAAGTGAAGTTGTTCCTCATCATAAACACTCTTTGTTCTTCTTTAGCTCCCTCCCGCACCACACGAGAACTGAAATAGTTGGGATTCACTGAAAGGTAACCAGGAAGTTTTCACAAGGCACCTGGTGGCCCAGTCTTTACTCTGAGAGATGGGTTTTTCAAGTCTGGAGTTGGCTGAATATAAGAAAAGTAGAATCAGATTCCAGTATCAGTTAAGTTTATCATAAGGTGCTTCCTGGCTACTGTGCAAATTGACTTAAATCAAGGAAGCGAGCAACCAAAAGCGAACAAAAATTGCATTTCTAGAAGGCTGGCCCCGTTGCCCAGTGGTTAGGTTCGCGTGCTCTGCTTTGGTGGCCCAGGGTTTCGCCGGTTCGAATCCTGGGCATAGATGTGGCACTGCCCATCGGGCCATGTTGAGGCAGTGTTCCACAGGCCACAACTAGAAGGACCCACAACTAAAAAATATACAACTATGTACTGGGGGGATTTGGGGAGAAAAAGAAAAAAAAAAAAGATTGGCAACAGTTGTTAGTTCGGGTGCCGATCTTTAAAAAAAAAAATTGCATTTCCAAGCAAAGAATATATTCACAGCTGAAGAAATGGTTGAGTTGTTTGAATGGTATTTCAAATCTCAAAATAGCACAAGAGAATGTGTGGAACTCAAGCTATCCCCAAATCTCTATAGGTTGATGGCAAATTTGCCTGTGATATCACCAAGATCCTTGAGCCCTGTCAGCCTGCAGTGTCATGGGGATAGGATAGGGGTAGGGCTCAGGAAGAGAGAGAACCACAGTATCGTAAAACTGGCTTCTAAACCATTTTCTGAGACCACTCAACTGGTCAAGCTGGTCTCTGGAAGAGGACATAGACTTGGAAATAATTCCAGAGTTTCAATCTCAGCTTTCCCATTTGTTAGCACTGTGACTTTAGACCAGTTAACCCTGGCCTCAGGTTCTTATCCACAATATGGGAGTCATAAAGCTTACCTTAGAGAATTTAGACAATTACACTTTTCTTATGATACATATCACGTCTCTTCCACAGTCTTATTTAGTGGAAACAGCATGTTTAAAAGCCATGAGAACAGAGGCAAGAAGGCAAAAGGCACAAGCAGTGGGGACGGATAGAGTCACATTCTATCAAAAGAAATACCTTTTCAGGGAATCACACATTCGGGGTGTTTAATAAGAGTTGGTTTCTATACAGGTAATCTGACAAGCAAATCTAACCAACGAAATAAAGCTGCAACATACTTCCTAGTTGTGATTTAATCTGTTGAGGTTACTAAAATTTAGAGCTAGAATATTTCGTAAAGCACATCTAATTCAAACTCTTTATTTGACAGGTAGAAAAAAGCAATTATCAGGCAGAAGAAGTGGTTTTCACAGGATTTACAGCTCCTAAGTGGTAGCGCCAACACCAGATCCCACATTTCCTGACTCTAAACTCGCCCTTTCTCCCACCACATCATGCCTATGGCAACACAGGGAGAAAACTGAATCAACACTCATTAAATATTGTTTTTAGAATTATGGCCTTTTATGTTGCTGGAAGCCACACAGCCAATTTAAGGAAAACATGTATTCATATAAAAACACCCGTGGATTAGACTATCTAATTTTCTGACCCTAGGTTTTCAAATTCCTGCTAGGGTCTATTTATTGGTTTGTCCATTTAAGGGACTAACCGTTTTTCAACAGTTTATTTCTCTAAGCCTAAATTCCCACCTCTCATCATACTGCTCCTGGATATAAAGAAGGAGGTACGGTGTTCCCTTTTTGGTACTTTTGGCAACAGGCCTCACGATGTCAAATAATGACCTAATAGCTATTGTGAGCTTCTTAGAGTCTGATTGATCGATTCGAGTCTGCAGTAATTAATTCTGAGTAACTATCTTTTATTCCTGCTTCAACCTTTTCCTCCTCCATTTGTCCAGCCCTCCAGTTTCAAACCCCCAATGGATTTGCCTTTACAACTTGAATCAACTTTTTTATGTGTTTAATTTTTTCACCCAGATGACTAGGTAAAAGCCTTTTAAACAATCAGCCAAAAGCTCCAGGCCCAACTTCCTGTGAGCTTCCTTTAATCATACATCCTCTGGACTCATTAAATTTTATCTGTGACAAAAGACACTGCCCAGCATTTCCTCTCCAGTTGAGGCTTTGGCCAAAGACCATCCAAAGAACTAATACTTTTGAGTCTGGGCCAAGCTGCAGACTCGGCAGCAAAGCCGTGGCAAGGACAGAGAGCTGAGGAGTCCTGGGGTCACTGTGGCTTTCTCCAGCAGGAAGCTGGGGCTCCTGTGACGACATGGACACAAGATTTCTAAGATGGGGAGGCTGAACCGGAGCTGTGTGAAGGACACAGATAGTGTCACAAACACTTAAAGGGCTCCGCTCTACCTCTGGCAGCCTCGGCTGAGGTACAAGTGTGCTTGGAAATTCTAAGCATTTGAGACATTGGTAAACTCAAGCCAATGAATATTTGCCAGTTTTCCTCCCATTCATCTCTCTTCATTCACATTGTCATGCTTTCTTCTGAAATGGATTTTGACACACATGTTGGAAACAAGTGGGTAGAGAAAAAAAGACTCTCAGATTCATTGAGTATCCATCGGCCAGACTGCAGGGTTTTGGTGTTTGCCTTGACCTTGGGCCCACTCTGTACATCTATACCTCTGGGATTGGTAAGGAAGCATGCAGTGTGTGACTGTCATCTACCTGGAGGCAGCTTTCTGCAATAAAGGGTCTCGTTCACTGTATGCATTTTGTGAAAGTAAGGTAGTGATAAGCAAGTATTCTACTCTAGTGACACATTCTGGCTTGTATGGTAACTATATCTGATTTTATCTGAAAGGACTCTAGCAAGATTTACCTATTTGGTATAAGCTGAGTATGTGGCTCTTCCTTTTGAGAATATCAGACCTATATAGGAGTGAGTTAGAAGTGTCTCTTTCTCTTTCTGTAGAGATATAGTATTTTACATAAAGATAGTACAACTACAGAGTGAATCCTGCTGGATATTTCTTCCTAGCGTATTCTATAGTCCAGGAAACTTCAAACCTCCATTTGAGAAGTACAGACTATTAGCTGGTTTGACGCATCATTTTATTTCAGTGTTTATTACTGAGCATACCCAAGATTATAATATCAATAAAGCTATTATTTCTCTAAAACAAAGAAACATTCTAAACAAAACAAAGAATCATTTTGCAGTCCTTAAATCACAGACAGCACCATTTATGCATATCTATTTGCTCATTAATACTCTGATCAAAAGAATGTCTCTTGGACAATGAGAAAGTATATAAATTTAATGAAATTTCCTGTTATTTCTGATACGAATTCTTTTTCTGGAGAAGGAGGGATAGAGGGTAGCCAGAGAGAAAAAGCATTGACTGAAAAGACTAGAGTCACGCTGATAATTTATTCAGAGAAGCCACAAAGGGGTCTACCTGGTTGAGGTGAAAAATCAGAAGTAGAAGAAGGTGGATTGTGAGATCTCATAGTTGCTAAGAGACTGACCAGTATTTTTGGGCATAGTGGACATTTTGCTGCCAGTGTCAGTGCCAAATTTTTCCTGCCCAGCCTCCCTTGATTCTCAAAATTTGGATCTATGCAGTTCCAGAAGTTGACTGTAGTTCTGCTCCAGGGGAGTGTCATCTGATGGACTAAACCAATCGAAGCATTCTGTCCCCTAGCTTGGAGTGACTGAACCAGTACTGAGCAGGTGACCTCAACTGCCCCGGAACTTTTCCTGGGAATGCTGAGTCAAGGGTAATCTTTTTCCACTGCAGACACAACTGATTAAGATTTAGCTCAGAGAGCTGTTGGCAGCCGTCTCAGGACCATGAGGTGAGGTCCTGCCCAAATAACATGACACAGAAGAATTGGAGCTGGAAAGGAGGAAAAAAACTGAGTATTTGTTCCGTATTTTAAGCCACTAGATTAAGTATCGCTTGAAAACAGCCCTCTTGGAGACTCTTTGAACCCATGAATCAATAAATACCCTTTTGGCTTATGTCAGTTTTATACGTTCTCTGATTCCTGCAGCTGAAGGCATCCTAATAAACCATCAAGTAAGTCTGTATAATAACCCTGAATCCCGTCCCACATCCCCAACTCTGACTTCTTCCTTCGTTACTATCTTGACAGTGCAGAGACAGCCAGCTGCCAGAACCCAGCTGGTTAGAATCCTTCCCAGAGGTCGGTGCTCCGTGGAGAACAGAGGCCCTGCCCAGAGATCATCATGGATCTGTTCACAATCTGCTGCTGCAGAAATAGCAGCCATATCAATGTACTCATGTCCCTGGGGCTGGACAGACTGATGGGCCCATCTGCAGGGCAGGAACAGCCGGAAGAGAAAATTGAGCAAGAAACTAATGAAGAGCTGGAGGAGAACCAGGAAACAGAGGATTTGGAAATAACGTGAATTTCAAAAGAACAAGTCCAGTTACTCAATAGGGACGGAAAACCTATTGGAAACTTTGCGAAGAACGGTCCAACTTCCCAAGCAAAGAGTGTGTCCATACCTTAAAGAAATCACAACTGGGCTGCTACATCTGTTCACATTGGGACTTCCATCCTGCCCCCCTCACAGGGGTCTAAGGAATACGTGGGAAGCCTGTGGAAAGTTCCTCATGCCTCTTCCGTTTGCCCCTTCCTGGCATGTGAACAGAAGAGCAAGATCCAACGTTAACAGAGCAGGGGTCAACCATAGTCTTCAGGGAGCCCCGTGGGTAGACTTGCTGAAACTTTGAGCACCAGTGCCTTCCTCTTTCCCCTCCAAGGCCCCCAAGGTATTTCCCAATCTGCTCTTCACCACCATAAAATGAGTCACATAATTAACTCAATTCCAAAGTACTATTATCCAAATCAATATATTGTGACTTTGAGTTATCAGGAAATTCAATAATTTGCTCCACTTATTTTTCCAAGGAAATACTTGACTTTTTTCTTAAAAAAATCTTTGTCAATCTTAGGACATAAGAAAGATCATAATTTTTAAACGTTCTGAAGTGAAGAATGTATGTAACCAGTAAAGAATAGGAATGAAATGTATACCTAAAAACTAGAAGAGGGGGAAAAATGGCATAGAAAAGTTGATTAATTTAGTAAAAGGCAGGAAAGGAGAAAATCAATGACACAAAATAAGATGAAAATAATTAAATATCTCAGTAATTATAATCATGAATCAGTTACACTCACCAGTTAAAAGACAAGGGTTGTAAAAATTAGGTTTTAATAAATTCAGCCCTATACCACTTACAAAATACACACTTAAAATGTAATAACAAAGAAAGACCAAAAGTAGAAAAATAAATAAAAAACATACCAGACAATTGCTAAGAAATACTATTAACACCAAGATAGACTTTAAGGAAGAAACATTGTCAGGGGTAGAGACACTTGTTACACAATCATAAATGAAACAAGTTGTCAAGAAAGCATAATAGTCTTGAATGTATGTACATTGAACAGCTATCCTCAAGATATATAAAGCGAAATTGGAGATTATTACAAAGAAAACTGGATAAATCTCCGTAATAATGGGAGAGTTTAAACATATCTCTTAGAAATGATAGATTTAACAGGCAAAGAATTAAGCTTACTGAAAACTTAACAAATTCAATTAGCAAACTTCGTCTTACGCACATAATGCTTACAGTTAGAGAATACACAATATTTTCAAGCACACGTTGAACAGTTATATTCTGAGTGGAGCCATCCTTATCTTTCTAATAGTTTCCCAATTGTTAATGTTCCTCTAGTTGGTTTTCTCTGAAGTGGAAGCATAGACTGGATGTCATGACAGCTGCATAATTTCAATATATTAATAGCTGAGCCATGGGACTCCTAGTAAAGGGCTGAAATGGAGGGACAGTGGGCAGAAAGTCAGTTTTGTGAGGTTCTTTTGCACAAGAAGAACATGTTTTTACTTAGATTGTCTATTTCTTTGATTTAATGGAGATTATCAGGGGCTAAGCTAACTCCCCTCCCCAACAAAGCCACTCAGTGCTTCTTCTGTCTATTGAGACTCTCTTGGGACCAATCCATTCATCTGCCCCTTGCTAAAGTCTGACAATCCCTGATCTATAGCTGACATTTGCAATGTAGCATCTGCTATTGCAAGGTTTCGTGAACAGAATCAACAAGTTTCTGCCTGCTGGTTCCCAAATCTAGCTGCACATTAGAATTGTCTGGAAAGCTTCTAAAATATAGATTTCTGGCCCCTACAAATGATGTTCTAAAGCAAAATCTCTTGGGGATTAGCTATAGAAATCTGATTCTTAAAAGCTCCCAGGTTGCTCTGATGCTGGTGGTCAGCTGAGCAGCATTTGAGAACTCCAGCTTTACCCAAAGGGCCCAAACATGAGAGAAAACATCAGTTTTCATTCTAACTCTGTAGCTACCTGCTGCTGTAATAACTTCCTTAACCTTCCATGTGTTTTCCAACCTGTGGCACATCTTCTAAATTTGGAAATTAATGTGTAATTATACCTGTGGCTCACCTACCAACCCCAGTGAGTTTTTTGAAGGATTAATTAGATAGGTTAGAACTGCCAACCTAAAACACAAAAATACTAAACTTTTTATGAGAAAATTTCCTCTTTTTTTGCTAAGTCAATGTTTTTGTTTTTCTTGGATTTTTAGAATGATAAAAAGAAGTAAACAAGCTGTCCATGACAGGTTTTAGGTCAAGGCTTAACCCCAACTTGCTCATTCTAAAGCAGAAATAATATGGTTTATGGGGTAAGATGTCTGCCAAGGAAGGGTGAAGAATCTACATAATGACTGCTTATCTGTGTAGTCTGCTTTCTAATATATGTGTGTATGATATATATAGTCTGTTATCTGGTATATACATGAGTGTGTGTGTGTGTATACATATATATATATATATATATATATCAGAAATGCACGTACTGTATGGAACATATATAATTTGAAGAAACTTGGATGGCAGAGGCTGGTTATAATGTGTCTTTTCTGCAGTGGGAAAATTCAAAGATTTAATCATCTGCATAAAGATTTAACAACACGATAAAATTAGATGTGTCTTTTATATAAGATGTCACTTGGAATGATTGGTTTCCCTAATCTTAACCTTTCAGGTTGCAAAATGGTATAACTCCTAAGGGAGATAATAGCACGATTTCTCACCTGTCAATGTTACCTCATATCCACTTTGCTCACAGTTATGCTCTGGGAAGGACAAGGGAGTGAAAGAATGAAACACAGTAAGTTAAAGAGGACTATAGCTACCTGGTGCTAAGGAAAGGAACAAATCGGGAGATATCAAGGAAGAGGTGGATCATTCTGGGCTATGACCAAATCGGGAGATATCAAGGAAGAGGTGGATCATTCTGGGCTATGACCTTATGCAGAAGAGTGGCTAGGCTCACAAAGATTGCAATTATGGGAGGGTGAATTGTCCCAAACAGCAAAGGATTCCAGGGTTCTGGCTGAGGATGTTATTCACATGCTATCAGGCAATAACACATTTCACAGTGACATCTTTCAAAAAGTAGATATAGGTAGAAAGCTCTTCACCACTTTTAGGATGCAGTGCATGAGCACAGATGCCAGTCCCAGAAGGAGTTCTGTGCACAAGCTTATGGCTTTGCCATTTATAAAACTGAGCCATCAGATGCAAATAAGATCTGAATGTTGTTTTCCTTCCAAGTAAAATTCAAGACTTGAGAAATTAATCTGTCGTTTTTGCTTTGAAGCTGAAATCTGTAGATTGCAAAAGTTGAGACTGGTGGCCTCTCTTCATTTCTTTCTTTATATTCTTATATAACGTAGCAAGCTTTCCCAGAAACAGATGATGAAATTTTCACATCAAAGGTACAGAGTAAAATTCTTGCAGATTTAAAGAAGTTTCTCCCTTTGAGGAGGAATAACATTGTCAGTTGGCTATTCTCCAAACAATGATATTTCCACTGGAGTCCTTGGTGATAAGAAGGGAAATCACGAATAAAGGAAAGTATTTAAAGGCAGAAAAATGCTCAAGAAAAACATAAGTTTATAGTCTACTTTTTCTTTCAATAGTATACCATAGTTCTTTAGAAAAATTAAAGAAAAGAATGAATATTTATTCAGTCATTGATTTGTTTGACAAACATTCTTACATAACTACTGTCAGGTACTATGTTAGGACCTAAGAATTCAAAACATGACTGAGTCTCTTTTTTGAAAGAATTCCATTCTAGAGAGAGCTTGACATAATAATGACACTGATTATTATTAATATTATTACGAAATATAATAAACTCTAATCTAGGAGTATAGGATTTTAGAGAAAGTAAAAAGGAAGAAGGACTTAATTGTACTCGATAGATGGGCGTGGGATAAATAAAGATGGGTGGAGAAGACATTATAACAGGAGCAATTACACTGCATGGCATAGAAGGACACAAGTTCTGATGGCAATTAATATAACCTTTGTTCTCATTTGGAAGATTTTTACTATCTTCTCTATGGACCTTAAGACAATGGAGCTAAAAATGATAAACTAAATTTTATCTTCATGGTTGTTATAAGCTAATGATCTGCAGTAGTGGATATCTCATTACAAATTTGAAAGACTTTCATTGGAAAATAGCCCTTAAATAGATGGCCATGTTTGAAATTTACACTGTTGGGTGTACTGTAAAGATCAAAGCCTTAGTGGTATAAAGGGAAGATGTTCTGATAAAATTGAATAATGTTTAGGTCAACTGATCTGACAATTATTTCAAAAAGTCAATTTCAAATTGGTGAAGAGGATCCTCTGACAGGCCCAGCCTGGTTTCTTATCTCTGAATTTGACCACTTACCAGCTTGACTCTCTCCCTGCCTCTAGTACAAATTCTAACTTACTGCACGTATTTATAGAACTCCAGCTTGGAGCTCAGAAACCGAGCTTTGACCTTGAAGCCTGTTTCTGCAAGCTGGGATTCTGATCTATTACTATGATTTCGAAACCACCTTGGATCTCAATTCTTACAACAACATTCTTTTCTTGTTCTTGGGTTTGAGCATTAGTTTTGAAGCTTTGTCCACTGCAAAAATCATTTCAATGTCTGAAGTCTGCTCCTGAATATTCACTCTTGTGTGGGGTCTTGCTCCCAGAAAAGAGATGTCCTCAATAGTGACAGCCTACAACTCTGATTACCACTGGATTCTAGACCCCCTTGTCATCAATCCCCAACTGCATTTTGGGAACTTCCTCTGCTCTGATTTACAAATCCTTGCTATAGATGGTGGTTCTGGACCACTACCTGTCAACTGTGGTGTTTTAGACATTGTGGCTCTGGATACTGTGTTTTGCCAACTGGACCGAAATTCCTTGTAACAGTAGGACTAGACTTTTCCTTGTAAGCTTCCACTCTTAATTGGTTTGTTTTGCTATTTTCAGGAACACAAGCTTAGCCCAGCAAAGGAGAGCAAACCATGCATTATTAATACCATACCAAAAGTCTGAAAGAGCTCTCCTATTTCTCCTTACATTGGCCATCCTTCCACTTCTCCCTTTCCGGCTTAATGAACTGCCTGATGAATTCTCTCAGCTCTCCACCCAGACGATAATTGGACTTCACCTATTATTCTCTATTTTTTTTGATCCCTGTGGGATCTTCAACAACTGTAAATTGCCCTTTCTCTCACTGCTGTCCAGACCCAATCCAGATAACCTAGCTCTAAAGGCTCTGGCTCACCTGCAATGTAGGTAATGGGATGTGTAGTTCTAGGACCTGGGTGTTCTGGCTCATCACAAACCATGTAGACCTGGTCACCACTGGATCACCAATCTGCTATCTTGTTTCTGGAAAATAGTAAGGAATTAATAAAGATTTTCAAATAAATTAGTAAATCAATAAAGCCCATTGTAGGTAAAAATACCATGTCTCAAGTTACAGCTTCTATCTTCGCCCTCACCTTTTCTTACTTTCTTTTTAATTCATATCCTGGCTTGATTTTATAGAACTTATTTGAACATTAGTGTAAAGGGTACTATGGTACTCCTTCAAAGAGAGACTGGAAAGACTCATAGTTGAGTTTGAAGAGAGTAAATAATCAAATATTTGTTTAGCCATGCTTAGACGAATCATCCCCATGATTTGTTTAATTTTTTTATTTGAATGCTTGCTAAAATGTGAACTCATGCAACCTGTCTGAATTTTGTCCATTTATGAAAAATGACACCCATCTGCTCCTGTGAACAAGCGACATGTTCCAAAGACATTTGCTTGTTCTAGAAGCACAAGGACACAGTGTTTGCTTGACGTACAATATTTTATAAAATTGAGTATGGCACTGAGCACAGTTGAATTTCCTGTTTCCTATCTTATACTGTAAACAATTTTTTTAAGACTTTACTTTTTCAGAGGAGTTTTAGGCTCACAGCAAAATCATAGCCTCTCCCCTCCCCCGCCATTATCAACGTCTTTTACCAGAGTGGTACTTTTGTTACAATTGGTGAACCTGCACTGACACATCATAGTCCCCTGAAGTCCATAGTTTACATTAGGGTTCCCTCTTGGTGTTATACACTCTATGGGTTTGGACATATGTATAAGACAAATGTATAATGACATGTATCCATCATTGTAGTATCAGTCAGAATATTTTCCGTACCCTAAAAATCCTCTGCACTCTGCCTGTTCATCCCTTCCCTCACTCCCAAACCCTGGCAACAACTGATCTTTTTACTGTCTCTATAATATGCCTTTTCCAGAATGTCACATAGTTGGAGTCATACGGTATGTAGCCTTTTCAGATCATTCTTTCACTTACTAATGTATATTTCAGGTTCCTTCATGTCTTTTCATGACAAGATAACTCATTGCTTTTTAGATCTGAATAATATTCCATTATCTGGATGTACCACAGTGTATTTATCCATTCACCTACTGGTCATATTGGTTGCTTCCAAGTTTTGGCAACTATAAATAAACCTGCTATAAACATCTGTGTACTGTCTTTTGTGTGAACATAAGTTTTCAACTCCTTTGGGCAAATGCTAAAGAGCACAATTGTTGGATCATATGGTAAGATATGTTTAGTTTATAAGAAATTAACAAACTTCCAAAGTGTCTGTACTATTTTTCATTCCCATGAGCAATGAATGAGAGCTCTTGTTGCTCCAGATCCTCACCAGCATTTGATGTTGTCAGTGTTCCAACTGATAGCTATTCTAACAAGTATGTAATGGTATCTAATTGTTATTTTAATTTGCATTTTCCAAATGACATATGATGCGAAGCATCTTTTCAAATGCTTGTTTAACATCTGTTTGTCTCCTTTGGTGAGGTGTTTGTTTAGGTCTTTGGCCCACTTTTTAATCATGTTGTATGTTTTTTCAGTGTTGAGCTTTAAGAATTCTTTGTAGATTTTGGATAACAGTCCTTTATCAGTTGTGTCTTTTCTCCCAACATGTGGCTTATCTTCTCATTCTCTTGACATTGTTTTTCACAGAGCAGAAGTTTTTAATTTTAATGAAGTCTAACTTATCAATTATTATTTCACATATCATGCTTTTGGTGTTGTATCTAAAAGGTCATTGCCACGTCCAAGATCATCTAGGTTTTCTCCTGTGTTAACATCTAGGAGTTTTATGTTTACACTCAGTGCTATGATCCATTTTGCATTAATTTTTGTGAAGGGTGTAAGTTCTGTGCCGAGATTCATTCTTTTCATGCAGATGTCCAGTCGTTCCTGCACCATTCGTTGAAACACTGTAAGCTTTTGAATATATGACATTACCCATAGTTACTAACAATGTTTTATGCAATATAAATGCTTGCTGTTGATTATTTTCCTAACTCATTCTTTTGATAACCATTTCTAAGAAGACCTGTAATATTGAATAATCCCCAAGCTTTCAGCAATTCAATTGCATTTATGCTGTGCTGGGATAGTCACAGTGGAAGATCTTATCTCCACACCAATTATGACTTCTCAGAGAATTGCAAATGTCAGCTAGAATGGAAAGTCTTAAAATGATGCATACGTTTTTATTTATTTTATTTTTAATTAAAGCGTATGTAAGAGAGAACCACTACAGTATAATTTCTGCTTCATCCCAAAGGAGATATTAAAGCATTATCAACAAAGATAACTAAGAACCAGTTACATGACTCTTGAGTTCTGCTTTTGACCATTACAGAGCAACTGGCACAGGACTTGCCTTCCCACTATAAACAACTGTGTAACTGGGTGCAAGACATAAGCCACCTGTTTTCCGGCAGTGGACAAGCTATAGAACAGGTCTGTGATCCCTTAGAAAGGGAAAACAAACAAAGTGATTCCCACATTTAATCCGGCCGTCTGCCTTTCCAACCACGGTGCTGGTACTGGGAGGTGAAGACCAAGCAGATCACAGACGTCTCACTGACCTGAGGAGGCAGGTACTGGAGAACGGGGCTGCTGAGGTGGCAGGAAATTTAGGGGCGGGGTGCTCGATATGGGAAAGCTGTGCAGAGGGAAACCCAAAAGTGTTTTCCCAATAGATGGTGGGCATGAGGAGGCTGTGCAGAGTGAGTACCTCAAAGTCTGCATGGGAGTTCCCAGCAGGTCTGTGGTGGTTAAATTTTCTGTGTTGACTTGGCCAGGACATTCTGTCAGTTGTTTGGTCAAACACTAGTCTAGATGTTGCCGTGAAGACATTATGTAGATGTGGTTAACATCTACAATCGACTTAAAGGAGAGTGCACCCAATCATCTCTGCATATCATATGCACAACATAGAAATAGAGCATCAGACATTGATGGGTGCTCTATTAACTAATTTTTTTCCCTGTCAGGTAACTAAGGTGAGATCACTGTAACAATAATGCTATGGATGGGGAGTACCTTGGAGGCATCCTGGTTCAGGACTTTTGTTAAATGCATAGGGTGTGACCCACTTGACATCCGGAAAAAAGTGAGATCTGTGAAAGATTTGTGTTATGGATGCAAGGACAACTGACAGGCTCAAAACTTTTAGTGATACCTGATGGGATTCAGCTTCCTTTTTTTTGTTTGCTATGCTCTATACTGTATGCAAATTTTAAAGCAGCAGCTCTGGGTGGGCAGGGATGAGGCGGAGCTTCTTTATTGATCACGACTTGCTGCGCTTCTCAGTGTCATCAGACATTCACCAGATGGCAGAGAGCACAGGGAAACGCGGCATGAAGCTGTCAATTTCCCATTGTAATTAGCTCCTTGTATGACTACAGCCTCATCTCTGACGGTCACATTGTGTCAAAAAGATTTTAAAAGAAAAACTCTCACTTGTGGACCTCAGATTAAAGCAAGTAAAGGAATAAGGAGCCAGGAACTATCCCAACTCATCAAGTTTAACCCCTTGCTAATATCTTAAAATAGTGCATTTCATTCTGAAGCTGGAAAGGCAAAAAAAATTCCAAAATTCTCATTGCTACTTTTTATATAGGAAGGAGGAAAAGAAGGCAAATGTCTGGGTTATTGAATGATCAGGAGAATTAACAACCTTGGTAAAATGCCAATGAGTTTATTAGATCTGGCCTTCTTAAAATATACTGGCAGTTTTACTTAGATCATATTCTTCTCTTGCCATACACGCCAAAACTATTGTTGACTGGTGCCTCAAGGCATTGCTTAAGGTAGTGACATCGATCTGGAGGAAGCTGGGTTATGGTCTCCCTTAAATAGGTTGGAAATAAGTAGTACTCTGCAAGTGCCTGTTATTTATTCTTATTTAATAAAAATGTCAGGACAAATGCATTCATCCAGGAGCTATTTCATATTCTGTCAGAAAGATATGGCTGGTTTTGTCAATGTAAGTTTTACTATTTTTGTGTGTGTGCTTTCCACTTTGCTTGGCTATTTCACACACCTTCCACTTTGAATTGTTGGAATTCACAATTGATGGAATTTTTCTCAAGAGCACAACGTTATTTTAGTATAAAAAGCAAACAAACGAAAAGCAAAAATTTTAGAAAAATCGCAAATAAAGCCATTTGGTATGCCTGAGAAAAACACTTCCCTTGCCCACTGACTCAAAATTGACAGCAAAATTTCTTAAACTACTTTTAAAATCACCAGAAGTGCTGGGGCACAGCAAGTCATCCCAGAGTGTTCCATCACTGGGAAAGGAAATTATGGAGAAAAGAAAAGGGGAAGAGAAGCAGAATTGTGCTGTAAAGTTTGACTTGAGGGTCTACCACTTCTGTCTGGAGCTGGTTCCAAACCCATCTCCTGCAGGAAATCCTCCCTCTCTCACTGTCTCTGCCCCTCCAAGCTCATCAGCTCCCCTTCCTGGGAATTCAGCCCCTACTGCCTGCCTCAGCCCTTTGGTTCTAGGCAGCTCTGCCTGCTGTCTATTTGTTAGCATCTGAGAGTGTTTAAGAACCCCAAACACAGAGTCCTTGACGCAGCACGGGGTCTCAGTACTGTGCCCACCCATGCCCATTTCCTTCTACCCGTATCCTCTCCTAGAAATAAGCTCCATGACAGAAGGGACCTTATCACACTCTAGTGGCCCCACAGGCTTTGTGAATTCCTTCAATGTCTTGGTCACAGTCAGTACCCAATGAATACCTATAATTTGGGGAAAAAGAATCATAAGCAACATTTATTAAAGATGCAGATTCTAAGGCCCCACTGCAGACCCATGAGTGGGAATTTCTGGGAGTGAGACAAAAATAGACTTTTAAACAACCATCTCTTGGCTATTCTTAGGCATAGAAAAGTTTAAGAAGCACTCCTGGAGAATCACGTTCTCTTCCAGGATTGCATTCAGCACTGGCCTTTGGATTTGGAACTAAGCCAGAACAAGATAGTAGACAGAGGAGATGATCTTTT